AGATCTGAGCCCATTGACTTCTGATGAGTCGCCCTGCTGACCATGAGAAAGAGTGCATGTTTGTGGCTCTTCTTGCAGAGCTGCAAGCCATGCTTATCCTTCATTTACAGTGTGCGGTGAAAAGCAGCATTCATCAGCCACGAGTGAGGCTCCTATCGTGCTAATCATTGCCGTTTTGTTGGAACATAATAATAAGGAAGCATAATTTGTGTCACAATCTGGTTGGCGGTATTTTAAGACTTCCGTGATCCCGAGAGCAGCAGCAGCAGCAGCTGAATAAAAATAATGGTGTTATTAAGCACTCGGAGGCTCCGGACAAAAGCCGCTTTCACTCTGTGTCTGTGTTTGTCATTGTCTCCATTATTTTCCTCAAGCACCCCGCCCATAACAATGTAGTTATCAAATGTGATGAGAAACTAAGCATTTATTTACACAACTAAAACCAAACTCACATCTTTGTGCCAAACAGGTGGTGTGTGTGTGTGTGTGTGTGTACATACGTGCCTGCCAACAGCTAGGTGTGGAGTGAAAGAGATGAGAGTGTAGCAGATGTTCTGATAGCTCACTCGTTTAAAACATGAACAGAACTGGCAGCGTGCGAGCTCAGAGTTCAGATCCAACAGTCGGGGTTACGAGACCTAAATTACACGTTGCCTCCGTAGCTAGCGTGAATGATTAGAACGACTCCCGCAATAATATTCTGCCTTTTGTTTCTGTTTTTGCACCGAAGGTTTGGCACAATAATGAGATGGTAAACGACATGATTGCGTTCCCCCTAAGAGCCTCGGATCTGTAATTTTGGATTTCTTCATTGCAATTGTGCGCTGAGATTGTCTCTCTCACGTGAGGAAATTGTTTTACAGCCCCGTGGCCAGGTCAGCGTGCTTCACTGTAAAATGAAAGCAACGCAGGGGCAGTAATGGAAAAGCAGTTTCCTTTTAAATTCGTTAAAGCTGCTGCTGTGACTGACAGTGTGTTACACTGTCTTTGTCTTGTAGTAATTGTGAGTACACTGTATGCACTGTTGTGAAGCATCTCAGTGAGGACGAAGGCTGAAAAGTTTCTATTTACATCAAAAACTACCAGGACGCAAACTTGATTCACTCAATAAAAAACTGTGAGCTGAGCTTGAACAGGCTCAGTATAGACGAAGTTCAGTCCCCAGAAAAAGAGAATAGTGTTAGCTGCATGTTAAACTGGCTGCTTGCATCGATGTGTTCCCCGGAATAAGTGTGAATGTTTGCGACTGTGTTGGAGAGCGTATGATGGCGATACGCTGCTTATTTATTAATGAATTCATTAATGCAAACCCACTATTTCCTGAGCGGTGAGACAGGCGGGATGCGTTTCGACTATTTGTGCTAAAGTGTGAGGAAAAAAGGGGGAATCCTAATTATAGGTGGAGCTGTCTCTGTTTATATTTGCTGCATCTTGAGTTTTGCTGATGTGGAAATGTTCCTGAAAAGGTCACAACAATGCAAAGCTTGGGAGTGTGAGGATGTCAGTGTGCGTCTCCTTGTTTCGCTAAACAAAAGAAGATTAAGGATCCTTTTTTAAAACGTGTAACTGTGTGCACGTCAGCTCGGTGAGAAGGACAAACGCGAATGTCTGCGAGTCTCTGACTTACGTGTAAACAGCTGTGTTCACTGGACTGAAACTGATGCACCGTTGAATATTTAATATTTAATCTTCTTTTACAACAACCGGTAGAACAAAAACACACAGGAGCAAGAAGGAAACAGGTCGGATCCTCACATCAGTTAGGATGGAGGCCGTTTAAGACGCGGACAAAGTGAAATTTAATAATGCTCACTTTCTCTAAGCCACTAAAGACGTACAATTATCTTAGTGTGTGGTTGTGTGTTGTAGTTTGGATGGTGACTGTGCTGTACACGTGAAGTGGAAGTGAACTGTTATCGTGTGTAATGCACGGATTACAACCAGAAGGCAAACATCTGGCGCGCACACATCGAAAGCCAGACCAGCAGACAACCAGGGCAAGCACAACCGCAGTGATGTGCATCTGCACTACAGTTATGGTGGTGCAGATATGGAGTGCACGATTATCACACACGTAGTTTATGAACAGGATAATCAAAGTGCTCGTGTCAGACGTTACTTCTGTTTATGCATATTTTACTTTTTCTTATGGCCAAAAAAAGCAGCTCTCCCCAGATCCTCCCCGGGTCCTCGTTGTTAGATTTGTGTTACGCTTGAACCAAAAGGTTTAACTGGAAAAACTATTAAATATAAGCAGATGGAGTTTATTGGCTTTGACTGCATATTTAATGTAGTATAGGTGTGTCAAACATAAGGCCCGGGAGCCAGAATCGGCCATAAATTTTAGACTTTTAATTGTATTGTCACAGCTTTCCCTGCTGATAAAGAGTCAGTAAAGTCCCCCATGGCCTTTCATACTACACAAAGGTAATTAACTAACAGATAACCAATAAACGCCAGAAAAAATCCTAGTTTTCACCATCTACTATAGAAATGCACTTGTTTTTTGTTGTTTTTTACACAGAGAAAAAACACATTTTCTGTGCATTTGAAAAACTGTCTGGGTAACGAGCTCCCAGAACTTTTTCTGTAGTTTCACACTTTAGCTGAAACAGTCGTGCTGACTGGTTTCTTTCATTTCCTACAGCAGCGTTTCTTTATCATGTAGAATAACTGAGACTGTTGAACTTGCACTTTGTTGTATTATGTCAGAGATTAACTGTGTCGTTAAACTTCTTTACACTTATGTGGCCCACGATGTCCAACGACATCTCTGTTCTTGTTTCATTGAAGGAGAGACTAAAAGTTTAAAGAGGCTTCATGAAGAGTTTTTGACGTGTATGAAAATATCGAGTGCAAAGACGTAAATCACCACATGCTACAGCACATCGATGGTGTCATGTCAGGACTCAACACCTCCTGAAACGCTGTGATTTTCCTGTATAATCTGCATTATTCTCCGTCCACGGTCACTTGTTAGAAACTGTATTAAGAACAGAAGAGGCTGCCCTTCTGTCCCCATCATCACCGGCCTCCTGGTTAGGCCTGACACATCTGGGATATAACGTTCCCCTCGGGTTCCCCCCTCTCTCTCTGTCGGAAACGCAAATGGACACACACGTGTTCAGAGACACAGAGTTGGAGCCATCGGTCGCAGCAACAACCCCCTTCATGTCTACTGGGAACAGGTACGTGTCATTTCCTGTTCTCGTCTTCACCTGTCACAACCTGACTGCAGCAGTAAAATCTGAAAACGCTGGAAGCAGAGAGCACGGGGAAGGAGAGGCCTTTGGTCATAACAGCAGCAGGTACAGAGGTCTGGTTATGAAAACACAACTCAACTGCTGTTACTGTGTATTACTGTGTAATAACTGACTATCTAAAGGACATGATCACATTATCATGCATTCAAACATCCCAGCTTTAATAACATTGGATCCATTGTCTCTGCTTCATTTAGTGGAAATTTATACAGCTCATTATTACTGCTCAAGTTAAGCAAAAGAAAAAAAAGTGTCAGGTTTGTACAATGGATTGCTTTAATGCTTAAATTATTGTCGAGCTGAAAAAAAATGCTTGCCACAGCTAACAAGGTCCATGCAACGCTAGCATATTATAATAAATTGTGGTTACACAGCTCAGTAAAGTGGCACACAGAGTAATGGTCCACATTCATCACTTTACACACGCTGCACACTAAGAAGCACTCCTGATAAACAACGGCTTCTGCTAAAATATTAAAAAACACAACAGGAAAAGGAAAACACCAAAGTTCACCTAATCCTTCACGACACACTAGCAACATGCTACTAACATAATGGGCTGGGAACACAATATAGTACACAGCTGGCCACTATTAGTAAAAGTCCCATGACCTAGACATGTTAATCCCTGTCCAGACATGTGGAAAACCCTCCTGCAGAGCAAGATGATTAACTTTAACCCGATGATATGTTGGAGAATCCATGACAGAAGCACAAATACTACAGTTATTCATATATATGTACGTTTGTTTGGACACAGACACAGGCTTGTTATCTTAGTTGCTCTGAAAATCACAGAGCTCTTCACAACCAAACAGAGGGAAGGACCAAAGATCACAGTGCAGCTATTATTAAGTTTAAGAGTTTCAGAGTCTAAGAGCTGCTTTGGGAAACATAAAGAGTTCAATAGTCATTTCAGCTACATGTAAAGCTCAGCAAATGATCTCAGGATAGATAAAGAAACACTGCCGGGTAAAGAGTACTCTCCTGGAGGTCAGCGTGTTATTATCCAAGTGCATCATACAGAGAGGACTTGAAGAGGGAAATGCAGAAGGTTCAGCACAAGGTGCAAAACCAGTGTTCAGTATCAAAAGCAAGACAAACCCCATCTGGAAGCAGCCTTCATAATGATGGGCCACCAGTCTTTACTGATGATGCATAAGAAGAAAGAACCACTGGGATGAATTCTCAAGTGTAGGGACAAACTTCCTGCTCATATTCCACCAAATACAGCAAAGTTGCCTGGACAGGCAGTACAGATGGATGATAACCCACAAATACAGTGAAAGCAACTGACACATTTTTGCAGGTCCACAGGTTCTGGACAAAGAATGTGCCATAAAGTATTGAAAATGTAACATTTGGTTTCATATGACACGCTTGAATCCTTGAATTAAAGCGGAGAATCTGGCATTGTAGTGAAAAAATCCAAATCCAGCACCAGGAAAACTGTGTCGCTGTAGCGTGGAACATGCTGTGTACACATGCAAAATCTACATATCAGAGCACAAAGCCGCACACAGGGCAGATAAAAAGACGACGAGGACAAAGACAAAAATCTCTGATTTAAAGAGCATGTGTTTGGTTTTGAATTATGATCGTTTAATTTATCATATATGTGCAGATGTATTCCACTTTCATTCCTGCTACTGTGTGGGATTGTTCATTTATCCACGCGTGCAACTTTATTTCATCTGCGTGTAGTTTCTCCTATCATCCACGTGTGTGCGCTCCTACCGGGCAGGTCACAGCCGAGAACCTCCATCCTCATGCCGATCCCGGCGGGCGACCATCTCTCTGGAAAGACTCGGATGTGCTGAGTCACTATCTCGTCAAACCTCCGCACCTCGGGAGTATCGTAGTGGCCGTTGCCCTCAAAGATCTGAGGAAGAATGTGAAAGGTGAGCACGAAACAGTTTCACTGGTGTAGAAAGACCTGAGTTCAGCTCATTCAAGCATTTGATGCTAAATTCTTTGACATCGTTTCAAAGGCAGTCAGCAATACATTTTTGCCTGGTGCCCAAATCTGTTTGACCATTTTAAAAAATTCTTAAAACAACAGAAAATCCAGTGGAGGCAGTCAAATGTTGGTATTTCACTATCCCGCCTGATGAGAAACCAATAAAAAAATGGAAGTCTTGATAAATAAGACACTAACTAGCATTGTTTCCCCGCCCAGAACGACATGTGTCAAAAAAAACAACAGACAGAAGATGTTTCCTTTGATTTCCAAATCGTCTTTGAGGCAGAAGAAGCCTCTGGCAAAAGCACAAGATTTATTACAAGCGTCATACAGACAAGACTACAGCAATCCTTTCAAAAAAACGTGGGCCGTGAAAGTTGTACTATTGGTTTCATTAATTGAACTGTATCCTCTGTGTTCCCCATTTCTGAAATTTTAAAAACCGTAAGATGAATTTCCCAGGACGCTCATTTAAAAAGACAGGCAGATGAGAGAGAACAGGATTTTAACATCAGGAGAAAATCCAGGCACTCAGTAGTACTATTAAAGCGTTTTAAGACATAGACTCAGAAAGCAGAACAAAGTTTAAAGTGCCCGTCTCGCAGTGCGTTAGACGCCAGCAGTGCTGAGTGGTGATGCAGGAAAGACATTTTTAATTAACACCCATGAGAGACAAATAGAGGATGAGAGACGAAGAGAGGGAGAGCGCAGGACTCGGGGAGAGGAAGACACAGAAGCGCGAAGAATGACGAGCGAGGTGATTAAATTGAATTATTATCGGAGCCGAGGCTGTAATAAAGCGGCGTTTTTGCAAAAAATGACAAGAATGAAAAAGACAAAGACGAGGAGTAAGAGAGGGAGACGGGGCGAAAGGCTCGGCTGAGAGACGGCTATAAATAAACTGCAAATGAGTGAGAAGTGACGGCGGACCAGAGGACAGAGGGGGCCCCCGTTTGTGTCAAAAACAAGGAGAGAGTGTGTGTGTGTTCTCCTCTACCTTAGCAAACCCAGTCTTGCTGTCAGTGATGTAGGTCCAGTCTTTGCCATTCGAGCTGTGAGCCAGTTTGTACTTCCTGACAAATGCTCTGTTCTCCGCACTGCCCTCCAGCCCTCGTGCACCTTGGGTAATAATGCCACGCACCATCTTGGGCACACCGAGGTCCACCTGCAGCACACAAAACAAAGTTAAACAAAGTTATTATTGCTCGCTCACCCTGTGCGCCATGGAACCGATCAATTTCCAGATCCCCTGCTCATTGTGGCAACTGTGACTTTCCCGAGCATATAATCAATCAAACGTTGGTTTTCCACTGGGGAACCTTTAATAAGATTCAGGCTTTGGAAATGGGTTCTTCTTTCTATTCAATAGCAGTTCATGACCAAGGTCAGTTCACAAACGCAATCTAAACGACGTCTGAAAACTCCATCAGTGTTTAGAGACCCTGCTGTTGTCACGTGTGTCATTATACAGTAATTTTGTGGGTTCGGTGGATGTTGTGATCGCCGGTGCAGGTGTGGAAAAGCCCGGCCTGCAGTATTTGATTGATAAAACCGTAGATTACATTATAAAAGACAGATGTGGATGCTTTTTTATGGCTCCTTTAGTTGCAAAAACAAGTCTCTGGGAAACTGACCCCACCCCTGCTTGATTTATCACTTCAGACGACCTTTTCTGATGTTCTGACGTTTATGGTCTCAGTGTCTGGTTTCAAGTGTTCTCCGTTATAAACTGAAGTGCGTTCCTATACTATGCTGCCATTAAGAGTAAAATTTATGACAAAGCAGGTTTTGGTCAACGTCGTGGCTTCCTTGTGATTGACAGCTCACCCTTCGCCTCTCACATGCAGTTTAAAAAAATCAAAAGACAGAGCAGATGAATGATGCTAGGCTATAGCGACATACCTGCAGCCACTCTTCTCCAACTATGGGTTGCGTTGGGTTGGGAAACCAGCCTGATCGACTGGCCACCAGCCTGGCGGCCCCCATGGAGCCGTGGATGTCCCTCATGGAGGACGCAGTGATTTGCGAGTCAGGAAGCAAACCAGACAACATGCCCTGCAGCTCTGAGCAGGGGGCATCTGATAAATCAGAACACAGAGAGGAAGGAGTGCTTAATGCTACCGCTGAGGAGACGATTTCTATTTATTCTGCCAGCTTATTACAATCATAATAATAATAATAATAATAATAATAATAATAATAATAATAATAATAATTTCTTTTCGTTTTGTTAATAAAAGAAAAGCAGTTTGGGAACGTTTTGGAAAACATTTCCGTCCTCTGACTCAGTGCCTCAAACATCAGTCAGCAGCTAAAAACATTAAAGCAGCAACAACACTGGTGCTAAATGGTTGATTTTATGAATGTAAAGTTTGATGCAGTGATATGCTCTCCTGTCCTCTGCTGTTAGAGCTCACTGTATGTTTACCGCTGGGAATTTCATGCTGCATATGAAACTAGTTGTGTAATATTAGAGGCTGCCCGGAAGCTAAAAATCTGAAATCATCTGGAGTAATATACAGCCCTCGGTTCTTTATATGTCGCTCGTAAGAAACAACTGCAGCAATTTATTGAACGATATGCAAACATACATGGAAATATAGTCTATAGGGCAACAACTGAGTTTGTACAACGCTTGAAAATCAATATTTGGTACGAACTCCTTCCTCGTTAAAAAGGCTTTCTTCTAATTTCCCTGAGGATCTTCAGGAACGGTTCTCCAGGCTTCCTGAAGGACATTTAAAGCTCTTTTTGGATGTTTCTGCCTTTGGTCGTGTTCTCTGTCAGGATGATCCCACACTGCTTCAGTAACGCTGAGGTCCGAGTTCTGGGGAAACCCATCCATGACTGAAGCTCCACTGTGTGTTTTTTCAGTTAGGATCTGCCGTCACTGCACTGACACCCACTGTTGGACCGCTCTCATGACCTCCTGCGTACATACTGACAACGACTTGAACTGGAAATGTCCAATTTGAATTCATCGCTCCATCAGACCTGTAGCCACAGTCAGTCCAGTCCAGGACACACCACTTCTTCTTCGGTCCTCCACTTTGGTCCAGTTTTCTTAAATTTTTAAGGACACACTGCACACCAGGCTGAGATATGCCACGTTTCCAGCTAATCGCACTTTGGGAATCACCTTGTTGGTGCAAAAATCCAATTTCATGTCTGTCAAACTTTGTTATTTTTTATTGAGCCAACTAAAGACATTTCTTTAGTTGAATTTTGGGACAGGCTGCTAGTAACAAAGTAACAAAGACACAAAATACAAAGACACATTTGCACAGGACTGTATCTGGTAAGTAATTTGGACATAACGGGCCATAATCTGATATTTTCATGATTCTTTAAACAATGCTGGACTGTCCAAACTGTTCTCCGTCTGCAGGCTCCTGCTACACCAAAGCATCTGTCTTTTAACAATCCTTCATAAATGAACGTCGCTTTCAGGTCTGGAATAATTCTGCGACACCTTTTGATCTAATCTGGGAGCAAAATGTTGTGTTTGTGACACAAACAACAACTTGTGTGTTACGCGGCGCGGTGCCTTTGAGCTGCTTTCCATCAGCCCATTTCATTATTTTGCCTTCCTGCTGCTGCAAAGTTGATGCATAATTTTAACCTGCCTACCAAAAGGGGATTCTTCATGGGGAATTGAGCCAGAGAACTCTCAAATGGAAGCACTAAATGAAAGCATGTTGGAGATCAAAGGGATACTGTTTATTACACTGACAAATGGTTTTTAGTCCGACAAGCATCAAAATATGGTATTTTTATTCATGGCCATGAGTAATGACGAAACACAAAAGGAACCAAGAAAACCAAAGTGACCAGTTCTGATCTGGGACGAAGACAAGAGCGATGGAGGAAAGGAAGACAAAGGTGAGGAGGAGGAGTTAGAGGACAAAGGGAAGATAAAGAGATAGACAAAAGGTCAAACAGGGAGATGGACTGAAAAGGCAGCAAGTGAATAGGAAAGGGTGAGAAAGAGGGAGCGAGGGAGATGCAAGTGGGAAAGAGAGAGAGCCGGCTGACAGTGAAGGTTGACGGTGATTGATGGTGACATTCTTCAGGTCTTCACGGAGATGAATGTTTAATGCCGTGACGTTTGTGCCTCAGAATGGTAAATAATGAATCAACAATAAACAACAACAGCTCCAGCCAGGCTGGATGGCTCCTTCAAGCTCTACAGCAGACATGAAAACCGATTAGCTAGAAGGAAACGCTGTTCCCGTGTCATTTATTTTGTGTTTCTTATTTCCTGCATCAGTGTATTTTAGCAGCTCCTTTAATGTAGGCGTGCAGCATATCACCTCTACAGAAAGCATAGCAGAAATAGTTTCAGCTCTCAAATGCACGCACACAGCAGTCGGACAGTGAAGGTCTCTCAGAGGCCCACTTCCTCTCACGCTCTGATGTTTCGCCCACACACAGGTGAACACAAACTCCCACTGTGCCGTTTCTGATAACGGGGTCTCACGAGTACGGCGCCGAGGCGCTACTTAGCTGATGCATACGCACAGCTGGACGCACACGTGTGTAGTTTCTACAAATACACACGCTACACAAGCCCTGCTGGGAAAAATAGTAAAAGGTGCTAAAAATAAATGATTGATAAGTGCTGCGGTGCTAAAATGAAATGAGATTAAGGGAGAAGCGATGGAGGGAGGAAGAGCTGAATGAAGCAGGGACGGGAAGATTTAAAGAAGGGATGCGGGAAGAAGGAATGGTGGCTGTCAGCAAAGGTAAAAGAAGGACAGAGGAAGAAAAACATACTGACGAGAGAGAGACGGAGGAAAAAGTAGAGCAGAAGACATAAAAGTGTGATTTAAGTTAATGACATGTCAGTGACTGACTGCTTTATGTCTGCCTTTATAGGCTTGTGTAGGGCATTATCACATTCCCCCTGGCAGTGTGTTTGACTGTGTGTTTGCCTGCATGTCTGTGTGCTCAGAAAAGATACTGCATGGCCATTAGCAGGTATGTTTGGGCTTTTTTCAGCAGGTTATGGACATTTTCCCTGAAACTGCGGCAGGATAGTTTCTGCTTCTCGCCACGAGCCTCGGAAATATCAAACTCTGACATCCCTCGTTACAAAAACCAGCCTTGAAAGTGTCAAGACTTTGCATATAAACTCAATGTTTTTCTCATGATGGATGACAGGAATCGCAAGGTGGCAGGGATGAGCAAAAGGCAGGGCGATGCCCCAAAAAACGGGGGTTATATATGCTCTCACTCCTGAAAGCAGTGAAAAAGGCAGAGTGATATATAATGCAATTTCAGGTGTTAAAATAGAGTAAAAAAATAAAAACACAGGCAAGATACCTGATATATTCCACATCCCTGTCTATCTCTCTATCACACACACACACACACACATGCTCAGTATCATATTGTTTGGGTGGGATTGTGATTTGTGTGGGTGCTGAAATAGCCCTCCTGGATAAGAGCATATCTGTCCCTCTCAATGGCCGCTACGATGGCAGCAGAGAGAGGCCCTAACCTAATAATGATACAGTGGAGCGGGACACACATGCACACAGATATGCTCAAATGGATTGAAACTCTCTGTCTTTTACCATATACGCACAGACGCACACACAAACACAGACGGTCTAATTAAGTTTTATCTATTTATAGTATTGAGCTGATTATGCTGGTTGAAATCGTGTTTGTTTGCCAGGGCTGCAGATGAAAGCTGAGAGCCTGTTACTCTCTGATGTTATCACCCACACATCACACTCTAGTATTATTCTATTAGGACTGTGTGTGTGTGTGTGTGTGTGTGTGTGTGTGTGTGTGTGTGTGTGGGAGACAGAGAAGGGGTGTATGTATATGAAAGGGCAAGAGTGCACACGAGGGTGGGTGTGTTGCACACATGTGAAAAGGAGAAAAAGACAAGAAGGCGGCATGAATAGAATTATGAATAGGAGTTAATGGATGGACAAATTACAAACCTGTTTATTATTAGATTATACAAATAAAGAAAAACCTTTCACAATATTCCTGCACTTGACAAACTGACTTCTGTGTTTTCGCTGGAATCCCAGGAGGAGATTGACCCCTGTCCCGAGAAAGTCTGAGAAACTCCGCAGGAAAAAAAAGCATCATCTGTCTTACCCGTGATCTGACAGCCGTAGAGCTCGAACCGCAGCGCAATGCCGTTCTTCCATGTCTGAGGTTTAATCCGCACGAAGCGGGCCAGGACCGGCTGTGGGATTCGATTGAGGACCACCTCCGTGGCGTCAGCGTTGGCATGGAAAACCTGCAGACAGAAAGGAACATTTAGAAGTGCGACGTTTGGAGTCCGTCTGCAGAACTGGAGCTCAGTAAGGATAATGGGAGACAGCCCGATATGCTGAGTCACACTTCTATGAGCTGCATACAGCGATGTGCAAAAGTCATCTCTTTTATTTCCTTCCAATGAGCCAGACTTTGTCTTTTTTTAAAGGCTCTTGAGCCAAAGTTCTCCGGCTTCCTGAAGGACATTGGCTGCTTTTCACTCATTTTCAGTCTCGTCCTTTTGCCTGATCCAATTTCAGAGAAATGCTTTTTTGCTTGTTTTTTAAGCTGCTCAATCCTGACCTATGAATCATTGACACATGAAAAGTAATCTATTTCAGGGAATGAACAAGAAGAGGCAATGTAGCAAAGAACTAGTTTTAAGTTGTATCTTTTGACACACTACGGGAGCCATCTCTCGAGCGCGGTGGAGGCTCTTTTGTGATTTGCTGCTGCAATTTAGCCACCGGTGTTGGAGATCTTGATAAAACTGATTTTGATCCAACACGCAAAACCATGTAAAGAGTGTCTGAATGCCAACAGCTTCATTTTTTAGCACAACAATGATCCCAAATACTCTGGCAGTGCTGTGAAAACAAACACAGTGGAACATTATCAGTCATGGACTGGTCTCTGCAGAGCTCGGAAGGTACAAAAGGCAGAAACAACCAAAGAAGAGCTCTGAATGACCTCGAAGAAGCCTGGAGAATGACTCCTGAAGACTATTTAGAATTGCACAAACGCAGTTGTTGCTGTATTTCCATGTATGTTTGCAAAATATACAGAAAGTGAGGGCGGCTCAGTATTTGTGCACAGTACTGTATACACATAATAAATCCCAGCTATTCTGTACAGCAGGATTAACCTTCGAATGTTTTAAACTGTTAATTTAATTTTACACATTGGCCAAATAAACTGAAATTATTGTCCTTTTATCAGCTCACAGATATTTGAGTTGAGTTTTTTTCTCTTCTTTGGTTAATTTCTGTTAAATAAATAATGACACAATCTAATATTGTTGATATTAATCCGATGCTGTATGTACTTGACCTTCTGAGGACCACGTGATCATTTGTGTCCTGATATGTAAACTCTTAGAAGTGAAAGTGTGAGCACTTTCTTTTCCCCTGACTGTAAGTGGTAGAAATATGACACATATGATACAACCATCTAGTTTCTTTTAGCTGTGGCATGATGAAAAACAATAATCTTTTGCTTTGTAGTTAAGTTTACGCCTCTGTCCACAGCTGTGATTCAAGACAACACTTAATGAAACTTAATGTGAGGTGAAAAGGCAGCAGATTAATGTTTCTCCTCTACGTGATTACATAAAGCCACAAAATTAATAAAGTGACTGTTCACCGAGGAGGGAAGGGGTGCAAAGGTTCACTCACACACTCACACACACACTCTGAGGGCATGCAGTGTGCAATAAATCACGGACGTAAGTGTGTGGGAGAGAATCCTCTTCTCACGTCCTCTCGACTCAACCACACACACACACATGCAGGAAAACAGCACAAAGAAAAACACGTCGTAACCCCCTGATGCACAAACACACACACGGCATGCACTAGCACACTGCGTGCAGACACCACTGTCCCCCCACATGCATGTAATGTGTCTCTGCCCTCTGAGCTCTTGCACTCCCCACACTTCCTCTGAAAACACACACAAGTTCAGATAAAAGGAAACTGAATGCAAGTGCACATTGCTAGAAGGACCCTTTTTGTCTTTGACATCAAGACTTTATATCTCTGTCTATCTGACAGTCTCTCTCGCCAACAGCCATCTCCGCTGGTCTCCCAGCAGGACAGAACAGCTGGGGTTCTGCTCTCTCATTTCCTTTTCTCCCTTCGTTTCTGTCTTTTTCTGTGATGTCTCTATCTCGTCTCTCGCTGATGATAAACGGCTGTAAATTCAAGGACGATAATCCATGCTGTTGTTTTATTACAGGAGCAAATAAGCCTCTTTTTCCTTAACACTCTTTCTATTATGTTACATTAATGCTGAAAACATCATAGCGTGTTTATTACACAGAGCGGTAAGCCTTGTTCAACAGAGCCAAAGGCCTTGCAATTACTTGCTTGGTTACACATTTATAGATGTTTGCCTTGTTTTAGGTGTGTGTGTGTGTGTGTGCGTGTGTGTGTGTGTGAAAGATTAAAATCACTTTTTTCTTCCTGTCTTCAATCCATTGAACAGCAGGACTCGTCAGGGGTGACAAAATATGGATGAAAGGAGTTTGTGACTTGGAACAGAACAGAAGCAGGCCACCAGGCCAGCTGGGAATTGAACCCGTGACCCAGTGGGTGTAGAGCACCAAGTCGGCCCCTGTGAACTCACGCCCTTACAAAAGCATTCATACTAGAAACTGTGACCTGTTAAATGATGGAAAAATGCCTACAGGCCCCAAAGACTTAATGGGATTGTGGTAGCAGACTGTAATTACAAGTGTGTGTGTGTGTGTGTGTGTCTCTGTGTAAAAGTGTAATTATGAAGTCTCACTCTTAGGAGTTGGGGGCTGGCGGGTGCTTTCTGATTTCCCTGGGTGCCCACTGAAACATTTTCAGTGTACACATATACAACCACACACACACACACACTTTTACGTGTGTGTGGATACTTCTGCACACGTGTATGTTTGCGTGAAAGTCTGACCTGCAGCTTTTTGACACGAACTTGGTTCTGTTACTGTTTCAGTTACCAGCTTTGTTCAGGGTCATCAGGGATGCAGCGCGTGCTGCAGCTTGTACTGCTGAGCTACTGCTGTCACTGTCTTCATCGGGACTGTGAACTTATATCTTTACCACTTGCAGGATCACGAAGCAGCTGGAGGCTGTCCTGGCTGATATTGGGAAAAATATGGGATACAGCTGCCCGTCCTTCACAGGGTTAAGACACAAACCATGCACACTGCAGAATCAGTTCAGAATCATGCATATGTTTGTGATGCAGGAGAAAGCCAGAACACCTGGATTTAACCTGCTCGGACACAGGCAGACCTTAGAGGCCAGCCATTCTAGCTGTCAGGCGCCTCCCCTGGTAAGAAATAGCCCCATAAATATTTATAACCTGACCGGCTTGTTAAAAATTTAATATGTTTTTCTACACGTAGGCCATATTTTATGCTGCCATGTTTGTTAAAAGTCAAAGTATGTGAACTTTTGATTGTGTGGACAGGTGCCTGCCCGCACATCAATCTCATAATGAAGTGAATTTAAGAGCAGGGACACTTCAGAATGAAACATGTCAAAGATGACACACACACATGTGAGTTTGCGCACGCATGCAAACACAAATATTCGCATTCCCGTAACGGCTCCCAGGTCGTGGCTCCGGAGCGAGACTCCACAGAGAGGAGGTGTAAGGGGATATGCAGCGTCCCTGAGGTCTTAAACCAAACTAAATACACTGTTAACAGTCTCAGTCTAAAAGGCTTCAATAACAATCAGCTAATGGACTACACCTGCAGCCCAGCTCAGGTTATTAAGCGCGTGTTTGTGTGTGTGAGAGAGTCTGTCTGCATTTGTAAATGGGCTGATGTTTCCACCAAGGTAAGAAGACAAGGGAAGCTGATACTGGCAAAGAGTAGGGTAAACAGATGCTCCTCCCCCCTTTGTCTGTCTCCAACACACACACACACACCTACAAAAGCAAACAGAAATGCTCTTAACAAAATAACATAAAGAGAAACTTCAAATAGTACTTTTATTTCTCAGTGAAGCTCAAAGGTGGCCGACATGAAGTGAATACCATTTTTCCTTCATTTACACACACCTGCTCCGCTGAATAACAATAGAGTTCTGGGTAGCAGATTCTGGTTTGCAGGCAAAAGGCAGCGAATCAGATCTAGCGAGTAACTACAGGAAAGGCGACTGACAAACGAGTGCGCTCACCTCACGGGAAAGTAAAGAACACGCAAGGCCACAGTCAGTCAGCCAGAGAGGGCCGGCACAGACGCGCTGAATTATTCAAATGTCTGTGCCGAGTGTGCGTCGTGTGCATGTGCATGCATTGAGTTATAAAATAATAAAACACCCCCCATCTCCTCTCGTTCCATCAAAGAAGGCCAAACACAGGCACATGCTGGCGCACACGGAGACTTCGGGGAGGTAACCTGTCTTTGACAGCTGAATCCGAGCGTGTGTGTGTGTCTGTGTGTGTGTCTGTGTGTGTGTGTAGGGAGTGTGACAGAACAATGCACAAATCTCACAGACCAAACGACACACGGCACATTCGTAATATCCCCCGTTGTCCCTTTTCTCGCTTTTTCTCTGAGCTTTTCTTTCTTCATTTGTCACAAACTCTTTTCTCCTGCTCTGCGCTGACCCGGCCCTCCCTTCTGCTTTTCCCTCACCTCCCTCGACTCTGTCGCTTTATTTTCCTTCTCTCTCCTGACGTCTTTCCAGGCTGTGTTGCTGAGACCTCTGAACTATCCAGAGGGATTTGTGGTCAACACCCCTGTCTGCTATTCTCATTATTCCCCCTCTCCTGCTTCATCCATCTATCCCTATTTCTTTTGCTCCATGATTCCCCTATGAACACTTCTTCCCCCCCGCCTGCCTCTTTCCTTCACTCACTTGTTCCCCTATGAACCTTGCATTGCTCCCACCTCTCTTCCTCCTCCTGCTCGGTCACTCCTCTCTCTATCAGCCTAACCTTTTGCTTTTTTCCATTACTTTTTTCCTGTTTTTTTTTTTTCAACTTTTCTACACTTTCCTCCCATCACGATCCCTCTCTCTTCTGCTCATTCCACCCACGTATCCATCCTCCATCCCTCTCTCTCCATCCATCCTCCCTCCCACAGATTAAAGTGGGAATAGGAGGTTTTGGTCTTGGCCGAGGTCCAGTTCTGTAATGGCCACAGACAGGTCTGCCTGCAGCAATTCTGTGGGGCTACGTAATGACACTTGTCCCACGTCAAGCTCAAATGTAGCTATATAGAGAAGTTCTCAAGCTCCTAAAGATAAAAACTGCAACTGAGACGACATAATTTCTCACGCCGAGGCCTCGGGCCGCAGAAAACTGCTGCCTTACTTGTCGTGCGCACAACGCGCCACACAGGAAGTTACAGGTACAAATCTCTTTGTGGCTAATGCAAATTCAAATGATCTGTCAACGACCTCTCAATTAAACCTTGGCAAATCGCTGCTTCACAATAAGAATAGAAAATACATTTTCCCATCTGTCTGTCATTCCTCTTTTCCTCTGGTAGTGTCTGTAAGTACAAATAGGAACAAATTAAGTCTGAATATTACTCCATGCTTGCGCCTGAAAAGTTTCTCCAAGTTAACATGTTTTCCATATGCCCCATCTGGTTCACGACAGGCCTTTAATGACATTATCAAATACATTACAGATCACACAAATCATCACGATGCTGTGTGACAGCAGCACCGCCCTTGCAAGCAGACTCCCAGATGTTTAAAGCCACAGTGTGTGCGCATACCTGTGCGTGTATGTGTGCACAAGAAGTGTCTGATTAGTTAATATGCAAAAAGACAGAGGATGTAAATGCATCTAGTCACATGTCTGCGTGTGCTGTTTGGTGTGTTTTTGCTCCACTATATATGTTTAATTGTTTCAAGCATGGTGGTTTTGCAAGAACAAACTATCCATGTGGCTTCCATTATTTTTTTGTCCTGCTTTAATGCCTCTAGCCCATAAAACACTAACTCAATAATTCTTCCAGATTAACGCACACAAACCGAAGCATCGCTGCTGCCAAGCACAAAAGTCATTTGTTTAAGCAGCGCAAACGTGCCGGCGTATTTCCTGATGACTTTCTCAGAGACAGGAGGAGGAGGGAGAGCGAATGATGGAGAGCTGTGAGAGTGGAAAGAGTGTAAGGAGAGGCCGAAGGAAGATGTGAAGTGAGCGAACGAGGAGACATGGAGGGAGCAATTGATGGATGAAGAGATTCTGAGAGAACTAGTGAAGAGGCAAGTGAATGAAAATGTCAAGAAGGGGAGATGGATGGATAGGTGTACAGTCGGGGCACTTCTGTTTATTTCCTGGATGGCTAAAACAGCTACGATTTCTCAAAATTAATAACTTAGCCGTGTTGATTTAAGGCTTCCGTGAGACAAAAGGAAAACTGTGATCTATCGCATAAACTGATCCAGGATCTGCTTTCAATTATGAAATACAATTTCCTTGAATTATCCTGTTAATGCAGACGCAGCGTTTTACAAACTGCAGAATAAAACACACTGCCAAAAAGGTCTTGGCCACTGCTGTGGAGTGATTTATATCTTTCTAGCGTAAAACACAGACACACACAAACTCACGACAACAACGATAGACGATAGAGAAAGTCAGCAGGGCAAGGCCAGTGCTGAGTGGCCGTCTGAGGCGTGTCAACCGAGAAAGGACAAGATGCTGACATCATCGTTTCATCATCAGATAAATAACCATCATCCACTCCGCCGTTTTGTTCTGAGCTAACATAACGCTGCCGCAACACATTTACAATATTTGTACGTATCTGCATAATATCCATATTATGGCCCTGAGACAGTGGTGTGTAGATGTGGATTAAAAGGGGTGCTGGACAAAACTGAGATTACAGATTACAGCACAGACTGGCACACCAGGGAGCCAAACAGCTAGAAAGACCCTGCCTGTGTGTGTGTGTGTGTGTGTGTGTGTGTGTGTGTGTGAGTGAGTTTCTCTGTGTGCTGCTGATTTATGACAATCCCCTCCTCTTCACACACACACACACACACACACGTGCAACTCAATGTCTCCCTTGGTATTCAGCTCCAAACAGCTTTCCAGGGTTGTGGCTGAAACAAGCAGGATTATGCGCGGTGACACCAGCAACTAGCCTCGACACATTAATCTGTTTTGCATATTGGATTTTTTTATTGTCTCGTTGCCCGATGTCACTGTGAAACTGGGCCGTAGCTGCTGCGTGTCTGCATGGACAGTATCATGGCTCATTATTCAGTAGATTTACTTTAGCGCCACTAAAAATGAAGATCTGCAGTTGAGTTATACCTTTGTAGTTGAGAATGATGCATGCATAAAACATGCAAAAGCATTAGAAATAAGCTCCAATCCAAACTTGAAATAATGAAGCATTATATTAAAAATTAGAATAGCTAAAAAGTGCACAGTTGTGCTGCGTCCCTGTGTCTCCCAGTTTGTTGCACTAGCATGCTTGCTTCTGCAGTCCCAGGGAGACATTCACTGCTGAAAATTACACTATTTTCCAGCTTTGGTAGGCTTGGAGAAAGAGTGAACTGCATTTTTGGTAAGCCGTGGTGCAGGGTCCGCAAAAAACCCATGCATGTGTTCACCAACGATTGCAGAACACTATTAACCCTCTCGCTCCCACAGCTGGAACCTGGAGATTTATCTAAGTTCCTTACTGTAGATAAACTGCTGTGTGCTGTGAGCATTTAGGCCAGTGCCTGTAACTTATGATGGAGATATTAATCTAAAATATGATCGGTTACACTTACACATGCCTGGGAAATATAAAAACATAAATAAAGAAGTTTTCTAAAAGCTATAAACTTTTATTTTTGCCTAGATTTTTGTGGACAGTTAATGAGACCATCAACTTTGACATCATGTTTGAGCTCCTATTATTGTAGTCCAAATTTCCACAGGAAATTTAAAAGATTATTCCTTCCATTTACTGTAAAACAGATGCCGTTTATTACCACATAACACAAATGACCAAAGATATTAGCTTTTTTTTCCTTAAAAATAAAAGTTAACTAAGCTTAATATCTTGTAAATATAACTGAAGAAACTCCCTCATTTCCTCAATCATCCATCATCCCCATCTTTTATTTTCTGTGCTGTTTTATCCCACCATCACTTCTGTGGGAGTTAACATTTGCTGTAAGTCTTGTGGGATCTCCACTAAGGAATTCCACATGGTTAGACTGGAGCTCCTGTTTCCCTCTCATAGCAATGCATGCATTAGCGTTCATGAAGAAATAAAGGTTTACAGCACAAAGTCAGACGTGGCGTTAGACCGCAGCACAAACATGTGTGACCACGGGCAGGGGGAGAACGCCTCTGATGGAAAAACCAGCCAAAACCACTGGAATGTTCTTTTACTTTAATTGCAGCCTCAACCATTAAGACTCTTAATGCCGTCTGCTTTATTTCTACCTGGCTGGCCAGACTGCAGCGTGCACACTGATGACACATCATGCCTTAACACCTCTGAGAAAAACAGCTTGGAACCCGGCCCCAATCAGGTCAACGTTAGGCAGAGCTCAGACCAGAAACTAAAAGAAACCAGATGGGATGGGAAAGCAGAATGTGCAGTGTAAATGCAGTTGCATACAATGATGTCAGATATCACCGAGAGCCTGGAGACTCGTGCTGGTTCTGGCTCAGTCATAAAGCCTTAAATGAGGCCAACTGAATGGCAGTGGAAAGGCTGTAATTGCAGACACCAGTTAAATTTTGGGCTTGAGGTCAACTCTCGCTGCATATAATCCATCTCATATTTCCATCCACCTCTCCCATCAAGATGCCAGTGGAGCCCGACGCCGGTTAGCAGCTCCCGCCTCGTGTGTTTGAACCTACCTTATGGTTTTTGCCGTGTCTGTAGATCATCCAGTCTTCTCCGTTCGTGCTGACCTCTAGCTTGAAGGAGGTAACAAAGTAATTCTTCTGCGTTTCCTTTGAAATGGCGCCCTGTGTGGCAATGCCGGTAAGCACCTTCAGAGTATGGAGGTCCACCTGTTTGGGGAGAGAAAGGTTTTAAACTTTTACTTAATAAGAAAATGATGACAAAGTAAAAGAAAACACAGAAATCCTCAGATTCAAATGTACACTTGATCGTTGATCAAAGTGTCTGAAGACCTTTTAAGTGCAACAGCAGTTGAAGACACACAAAAATAATCCCACAAATATACACCTGGAATTATCTGCATCCATCTCCCCCGTTCGGCACTCTCTTCTCCTCCCCTCCTCATCTACTCCTCTCGGTTTCTTTCCACTCTGCGGCTCTCTCCTGGCAGATCGATAGTAATGACCCGGGGCTCATTTTAATTTCCTCCCATACAATAGCTATAATCACCTCCCCGTCCTGATTGTGGATGCTACACTACGTGGCTGGCATGCCGCTCGCTGCGTTGCATTATACATGGGAAGCACTGTGTAGGATGCGAAGCTTCAAACTCCGGGATTTCAAGGTCCCTGAAGTAGACTCAAATTTATTCGCTCCATAGTGCCCAAAACGAGTAAACACAGCAGAGCGATGAAGGTATTTAAATAAAAACGGAAAATAACAAGACGTTGTTATAAATTCTCTCAATATGGAAGGAGTCTAACGAAACAATAAGTGATGGTGTTTAGGAAGACACTGAACACTGCTAATGAACGGCTGCATATTTATAACAAACACTGCCGGTCTGAAAATACCTGAAGTAAAATGTATTCATATAAATCACTGAAGCTTTAGTGGAGTTACCTGCCAGGATCAGAGCACACCTGTGATTCTTTAACCCGAGTATTTCACATTTTTAGAGACACACACACGCAGAGGAGGAGATGAGAAAAGTTCGAGTGTAGATTACAACATTTGCTCTCCTCGACTGGAGCTGCAGAAACCTGCAGATTAATCAGAACTTGTTGTGTGTGTTTGCTGTGCAAGTGTGTGCTGTATGTCCCACTGAGGTATCGTACAAAACACCAGGGGAGGTAAAATGCTGCGTTTGTTATCTGTCAGAGAGACAGGTGTTCCAGATTACTTCCACCAAACACACACACGGCCGTGCACCGGTAGGGCCAGACAGAGATCCACCAAGACAACTAATCGATAACACGAAACCGGGGAGAGGAACAGATGAGAGGAGAAGGCGGGGTGAGGAGTGAGTATGGGAGGAAGAGGGAGAAAAGAGAATGAAATCCAGGGGGGTTGAGGGCTAAGTGAGACTTCCCAAAGAAGGAAGGAAGGTCCCTCATCAATCACAGAGCTGTTAGAATAACAGAGCCACCAGCACTCGCATCATCAATCTGCACCACATCTCAGTGAGCCAGGCCAGAATAGAATAGAATAGAATAGAATAGAATAGAATAGAATAGAATAGAATAGAATAGAATAGAATAGAGGAGCTATCCTAAATTTATTAAAGCACGCCTGATCTGAAAACTCAGCCCTGCACTCACAAGCACTAAGCTGTAAGACTCCACAGGGTGCAAGATACAAGAAGGAGAGGCACGTTGGCATTTATGACAGCTGCTCATCAAGGCAGACACACACACACACACACATGCATGCAGAGGCATTGCTCTGTGCTAGGTGTTAATGCAGAGGAACAGCTGAGAGCCTCTGTGGAACACGATGCCCCGACCACAGCACCGCCGACCACAGAGAGACACAAACCCAACGCAAACCGGGAGTTTCTCCCTGTGAGATCACATCGTCTGTCTGAGCGTCCGAGGAAAAACAGGAAAAACATGGAAATGAAATAATGCGTTTTATACAAATTGTTTTCTGTCAGCTACTTTTGAGAGTGGCCCTGAGGGTGTGAGGTTTCAGCTGTGAGAGGCGTTGTGCACTTCCTCTTGGCCACAATCTCTTCCTGTGTTTTTATGAGGTCTGATGTGCTGCTTCTAATCCACATGTCTGTGACTACTGTGTTTGTGACACTGGTCCAGCTAACATAAAGGAGACGTTTGTCTGTCATAGACAATATGTGCTTAATAATGTTTAATCTCTGCAGCCCGCCACTAAAGATACCCTAAAAACATTTAATGCATGAATGTCTGAGTTACTGACACTGCTAACAAACAAATGGATGCCAGCCACACTCGTATTGCACTCTGACTGTGTAGTAAATTTAGGAAACCTGGGAATAAACTGAGCCTTGCAGCTGGCAGCCAGGCAAGTCAGAAAACTGTAGGAGAAGTTAAGGTCAGCAGTTTGCAATCTGGCATGCAGCATCTTGCAAAAAAGGTTCCAAGATAAAGATAAAATAAATAAGGAAAGGAAAGTGTAAATGCCATACGTCTGAAACAGGAAGTCGTATCCCTTAAAGGACTAATATAAACACAGAAGGTATGCAGCGGTTAGTCAATCCATTCTTGAGCTGATCCTAACTAGTTGACAAATGCAACCTGTAAAGAACGTTCAATAGGCAATGCTTTAGGGGTCATAGGTCAAACAGGTTTAAGTGATAATCAATCTTGAAAGTCACTCGTCTGCTGAAACAGACATATCAGGGTCGAGGCTCGCTGTTCTGCCTGCTCTTTGATCGATAGAAGTCCTGAAAGCTTCCTTATCCTCCCCTTTAAACATGTGTGCATGAATATGAATCTATAAGGATATGTATGTGGAAACATGTGTAAATGGCTTTAAAAACGGAGTCGTTTTAAACATACTGGTGAGTTATAAATGCTTTCTCCTTTTAAAGAACTGGAAGAAACCCCAATAAAGATCCCATGTTTACTACTTAGTTACATTAAAGGTTAAAGCTTCTTCTACAAAACACACCTGTAGCAAAACCAATCCCCCCTAAAGGTATTTGTCCCTTTGCAAAGCGCAACGCTAAAGCTGCGTGCTGGCTTTGTGAGGCTATCCCTACGTGACAACCAAAAAGGTAATCTGTTGTTTACAAAAGGTGTCTGGCTGAAAAGCAGCCCTCTGACCCGCCTGAGTCTTCCCCGTCTTAGGGGGTGAGTCGGCCTCGCCTTCCCTTCCCATCTCACCCAGACAGCCTCATAACTCAAGCTCAGGGATGGCACAAAGTTGGCACAGAGCTGGAACACAGGAAACAATGCCTTACCCGGGCATGGAGCTGCTAAACCTTGATAGCGCCACACCTCCCACTCGCTCTCTCTCTCTCACTTGCTCTCCCACATACGCTGACAAATATATCTGCGGTAGAGTTATTATGTGTGATATGTCAACACGAGGAAAAATATGGTGTTAAGATGGGAGCGCAGTCTGTTTTTAGTTCAGGCAGAGTAAACTTCTGCATTTACGGATTAGGGTTTTGAATTTGCGCCCTGGTCTGGAAATAAAACAGTGAAACGTCCGTGAAATAATCTTTCTAGAGCTCGAGGTGTTCGAGGAGCGGCTTTTGGAACCGTGTGAGGTTTCTGGATGGACACACTCATACCTGTATGTACTCCTTGTTGCTGTCGTCCGAGGGCGTCCACGCGTTATCGTTGTAATTGAGTCGGGCCTGTCGCGGCAGCCAGCGTTCGTCGGCGAAGGTCGACGATGCCGTGATCTGGTCGTTGGTGATCTTTCCTGACTCCATGCCGAACGCGTTACTGCAGTGGAAGGCTGTAAGAGGAGAGGGGGAGCAGATCTTGACCAATATCCGTGTTTCTTTTGCGTTATTTTGAGAGAAAACACGCTACAAACTCCAGCTTACTCTCGCTGACTTCCTTGTGCGTCATGTTATAGCGAGCCGAGAAGCCATCTTTAGCCACGGCCATGTCCGTGTGGAAGGACAGAGAGAGGATCCCAGTGGATGATTGGATCTCTGGAGGCACCCTGGTCCCGCAGTATCGACCGATCAGAGGGCCCACTGTCAATCAAACAGCAGTTAGTCATCATTTATTTGTTTGTGTGTTACTGAACATCGCACTCGTCCAACGGTCGAGATTATAATCTTATGTTTTTCATCTTTTAACCTCACGCTTGTTTATTTGTATCCTTCATGACTTGCACTGATTTTCCTGCATCTGCTCATCACTCCACCCCCTCATGTCCTCACCTCCCTCCTTTCATCCATCTGGACACGGTTTGAGAAAGTGCACTAATATATACGAATACACACATACTGTACATCTCTGTGTGTGTGTGTGTGTGTGTGTGTGCGGATCTAAGTGATTCCTCTACTGTCTTCTTCTCTAATACCACAACTTGTATATGTCAACACAAACAGATGAGTGTGATTTAAAGCCCAAGGGTCTGTGTGTGTGTGAGTGTTACACAAATAGTTGACTCATCCTGCTACTCCTTCTTCTTTTACACACACACACATACACACATGAGAAGGTTTGTGGAGGAGGAGAGAAAATAGCCGGCGATCGATCAGTGCTATTGATTTTCTCCCCTTCCCTTTTGGAATGGGTGGATATTTGAAATAGGGCTCTTGAGCAAATAATGGTAATAAGTCTTTTCTTGATTGTGGGGAGGAAAAAGGAAAGCAGGAAAAGATGACGAGAGAAACGAGAGGAGGCAAACACGTGAATATTTTTAAAGATTATATATATTTGCCGTTCCATTTTTGGCTTCCCATTTTGGATGGATGGGTTTAGATTTTAGGAGATGAAAACTAACTGAACAGAAATGACTCATACATATGTGTACACAGAGGAAAAACTGAAAACAACCGTTTGGTGTCTCTGCCGCTAATCGAGCGAGCGCTGTTTTATTATCAGGCTCTCGTTCCCTTTACATTTTGAATAAATCGATTTTTAGGTCAGCTGGCTGTCTCGCAGCGTCTCCTCCCTCCTTCCCACTCCTTTCACCTTTTGCTGTTAAAAAAAAAACAGACTCTTTCCGCTTGCCTTTTCACTCTTCCTGTCGAGGATTTTTTTTATTCCTGAAACTAAAAGTCGTTCACCTCTGACTCTCACCCAGTAAATTTCCTTCCCTTTCCAAACCTCTCCCTCTTCATCTCGCTGTATTTCCCGTTGCCTCCCTCCATCACTCAAAGCAGAAGTCTTCTCTTCTCTCTGACCCCTGAAGAAAGGGATTTTTTTAGTATCCCTTCAAGCTGCTTCCTCCGTAATGTGCATCGTGTCTCTGTTTTTCCATTGTGCCTAAGGCGAAATTCATGTTTACAGAAAGGAAAGCGCTGTGTTATTCCAGTCAGTTTTTGCTTGATGTTTTTAATGGCTTTATAATACTTGTTTAATATACTCTGTGTCTACACTCTGACAGTTTTTAAAGCAAAGTTTTAAAAGTTAAAATAAAATTGGCAAAGTTTTCCAAATATTTAAATGCGTCTTTCTGGACGTCTTTCCAGCCCAGCTTTGTTCTCCCACTCCTCCTGTCGAAGGTAAACCAGAGGTCATTCCTTTGCTCCAGCGTTCCCAGCAGTCGATGACTTCTCTTTCTCCTTCTGTTTCTTTCTACCTCTTCCATTGCTTGAAACTCAGTCCAAGGGTTGTGCGCCTCGGAGTTGGAGTCCTTCTAAACTTCCAGTTCTTGTAGCAGTTAGACCAGAAATATCCCACCCTCCACTGTTCCTCCTCTCACTCCCTTTCTTTTCTCCCTTTGCTCAACAGTTGCTATTTTTTCCCTTGAAAAGTTGCATTGTTTCTCCACAGTGGGTGCCAACATCCTGCCTGTAAGCTTAGCTTTCATCTACCAACGCATAGCTTCTAAAATAGCTGCTACTCCACCTCGGTCAATAATGATGTAGGCAGGGCAGAGCACATATATTACTCACTTTGCTCTCTGTACTGACTTATGACAAGGCTGAGAAATTGTTTGACATCTCCATCAGCAGCCGTGACAATAACGCAGTGATCACTCGATCCGACAGATCCAAAGCATAAATGTCGTACCTCCCGGGAGCCCGTCCCAAACTTCCAGCCAGTCGTACTTGCAGTCTCCATCTCCACCTGGCAGGGGATCGTTCTCCAGGTCAAAGGTGAGGAAGGTGAGGGTGACATCCATTCTGGGCGGGACAATGATGATGAAGGCGCACTCGAGGTTGTGGGGGTATTTGTCGGGAAATCCCGGGGACTCGACGAGGCCCGAGGGACTGGTAAAGTTACGGGAACAGTCTGAACCTGGGATGAAGACAGAGAAACAAAACGTTGTGTACATTAATCAAAACGTCATGTTAATAGCAGTTAAACGTTGATTTAAATCATTAACTGGAAAAATCTCGGAACAAGATTTGTTTAGAGAAGAATGTCGGCGCTCATTACACTTCAAACTAATGATATTACTCTGGGCAGAAACCCAGAGGTGCTGTTTTTAGAGGCGAGCACTTTAAACTCAACTCAGTGCATGTTTCTCTGTTTCATAACTCCCAGCTCTGCTATCTCAGTTTTATTTAGGTACTAAAACATCCACTTCACATAATATATGTCTGATTGGGGCTACAGAGTGTCAATGTGTGTGCTTAAGTAGTAGTAGAGTTCACATAAAGGCCGATCTTATGGACAGACACAGGCTGAGGACAAAGCTGTAAGATAACAGACGGCTAATTTCTTTGTTTGTTTTTCCAGCTCAAAAAAACAAACACAAACAGTCAACTCATATTAAATATTGCCTTTCTAAGGTGGTAAATCCCCAGCTTTTCCACATTGTGCAAGACCACAAAAAAGCACTAATATTCTGCACCGAATGCCAAGTTTCAGTATGCAGAAAGAAAAGGATCAGCCCAGGTTTTAAGTGCACTAAAGCCAGACTTTTTATTGCTGACAATTCCTGGGAAAAAGCAGAGAGTTTCAAACCCGCTGTAATCTTTAAGAAAAATTAGCAACACTGGAGATGGTACGAGACAAACAGAATAAGAGGAGTGAGAGAGACAGACGGTCTGCTGACAGTGTCATGGATGGGTGGTCCAGCAGTTAAGAGGAGCTTTAGACATCATAATACATGCGCACAGTCACGCACACATAAACATGCTGTGACAGGGCGGTGTTACCCTCTCTATTAATGCACGCACACAGTGTGCTTGCACCAACTGGACCATTATTCCAGGCCACCCAGCCATAAGACCAAACACTGTCTAAGCCTCTTAGGGTACCCCATGTCTCTCATGAGTTAATGAAGAGAAGTTAGCAGACACTAAAACACTGTGTGCTCTGTGGCGTTGTAAAAATGAACCTAAACTACGTGTGTTTGCAACAACCTGTACAATAGGCACATTTCAGCTGAATTCTTTAGTGCCAACAGCTTGTGTTTTATGCTTTTAACAGCAACCCAAAGGGTTTTTGGAGCTTTAAGTCTGTTTCATTCTGACTTACATGCATAACTAAACAGATGGCGTACACTCAAAAAAAAAAAATTCACCCTAAATAAACATGAAGCAACATTTTTGAGTAAAATCCAAAATATATAAATATATAAAATCAAAGGTTTATGTGTTCAAATGCTTAATCTTTAAGGAAAATGTCTTTGGCATAAACTGAATGTATATTTTATCTGATCAAATGACATTAAAGGTGACATTTTACTTTGTACTTGTGTTACAAAATTACATGGAAGCTGCAAAAATGTTTCTAAATGTATCAAAGTACTGTGGATAAACAGACCCGCTGTAATGTATCACTGCAGCTAATAGTGAGCGTAAGTCAGCGTGTAAAGGAAATTTGAATGACTAAAGACGAGTAGACAAATGTTTCTGCTGTTCATAGTCGACACTCGGCCCTGATGACACGCACACGAACACTTCAGACACCACAGATGCTTAGTTGTTCTTACGGCATCGTCCACATGGTCACAGCGATCGCTCATCGTATTTGCGAATGAACAAAATACAACACATGTCTCTGTCTCCTCCCTGCTTTTATTTCAGTCTGTGGAATTTCACTCAGCAAATGCATAAATCTGCCGGGACATGTGACTGATTTATGCCAGCTCCGATAAACCAAAGCATCGTCTGTGGACTTTTCTCACATTCTGCTTTGTTTACCGATCTGCATGAATGTCTCCTTTATTTCTGGCATCATTTATTTTCCACAACGTCATCTATTTTTAGTTTGATAAAGATGGCCTGCATGCATATATCCCAGTTCTTCCTCTTCCTTCCTGGTCTATTTTTCTTGTTATTGTGACCTTTTCCCTCGTGCGGTGACCTCAGATGCGAGCAAACACACGCTCACCCAGAGACAAACACTGTCTCTCTTTGCGTCTGGCCCCCCTGCAGAGTCCATCACTGAATAGCGTGAGCCCGTGTGACTATTAGTGCGAGTGCCCGTGCATGTGTAGAGTAAACGCCTGACCAGTTTTTTGCCCGCAGTGATTTTTTCCCCTTTCATTACTTCACGTTAGTGGACTCTGCAAAAACACTTGTGCCCTCCTTTCTCCCATCTTCCTCCAGTCTGTCCCGTCTCGCTCTCTACCTCCACTTTCTCCGATTTCCTTTTGTGTTCACCTTCCTTCCCATCTGTTTGAAGCGGGTAGGTGTGAAAGAAACACGTGTTTAACTTGTAAGGGTTGGGGAACTGCGGTTAGCGTGCCGCGTGTGTGTCTGTATGAGGGTGTGTGTGTGTTGCTGGGTAGATTTGGTGATGGTGCTTAAGGCTCGCAAGGCACTAAGAGATAGGACCAACTTTCTCAGTGTGTGTTTTAAAATTATAAGCTTGTGAGTGCATGTAAACACTTTTATTTATCTTAAATGTGAACATAAAATATAATTCCCATAAAAATCTGCACGTTTGTTTACGTGAAGCTCTACTTTTATTCAAGCTCTTTTCGAAGCCTTCACCAGGCTCTTGGGCTCTCCTTTCATCAATCTCTAACAAACACACATGCAGAGCAGATTTACTGTAACATACACACAAAGAAAGGCGACCACACACAGTTTAACAGCTCCAGCGTAACCGCAGCCTTGCTTTCCATGTGTGTTTGGATTCCACTGCAGCGTTGTTTAAGTTGGAGGCTGGTGGCGCTGAAACTCTGACATTACATTTGAGCCTCTGTCACTGCATCACTGAGGATTTCTCTTTATAAACTCACTCTGACATGAAAACTAACTGTCATCCCTGTAGTCATCCCACTCCAGTTTACTAAAAGTTCAAAACACTGTGATTCTTCACTGATGTGTAACGGAGTGAAACATTGGAAATTTGATATTTGCATCTGTTTTGGAGCTGAAACTCTGCAGATAAGTGAAAGATTCCTAATTAACTGTAAATTTATTGAATATTTTAAA